AAGTCCAAGGTGGTGCAAGTGGACAGAGAGAGGCTGACCGTGGCAAAGTTCAGCAGGGCCAGGACCACCAGAGCCCTTTGCAAGTGCATCTTCATGCGTGAGCCGGGAATAGAGGCCAGGGGGATGGTGAGGCCTGGAGAGGAGGAGACCCCAGCAGACGTGCAGAAGGAGGGAGGAAAACCAGGCGGCCTCCCCAGATCCCAAAGACTGAGGCTTGGCAAGAAGGTGCATGAACTCACTGCACTGCGAGAGCTTCAGGACTTCCAGGAAGCGCTGGCAACCCTGAGGACGAAGAAGCGGACTGTGTGCCTTGTAGCTCTGGGATTCTTGTCCATGTGTCTAAACAGGTTTTGCTAGGCTCTGACTCCCAGCAGGCCAGGTGGAGGGCAAGCAGAGGGCTGGGAGGGGTGGCAAGGCAGCTGGGAGTGGGAAGGGAGCTGGAGTTTTTCCTTAGGTAAAAATAAATAGAGCAGATATCTGATATTGCCAAACGCCGCTTGGCGATGGGGAGAAAGTGGGTATTTTAAAGAAGGAGCAGAAGGACCATGGCTGGGTCCCAATATCAAAATCCTTGCCTTGCCCTAAAGGAAAATAAGAAAAGAGAATGGAAAAGAAAAGGGGAAAAAGTTAAAAAAAAAAAAGTCAGATCACCAGTGAGTAGGTGGGGAGAGGCCGGGCCGGGCAGTTGCTGGCCCAGTTAAAGGTGGGGGCAGTACAGGACACACTTGTCTCTCAGGCACTCCATTCATGCTTTCTCTTTTGTTTACACTTCCTCGGGGGCTTTCTAAATGACTTTGTTCACGCTGCCTCTCGTCTTCATTGGCTGGGGTGTGGGGTTATGTGCATTAGAAGGCAGGGGGAGGCCTCCGAGCGCAGCGGCCCCAATCATCCACTCGGACACCCAGGGTCACCAGCACCTCGGCTTGTCTTCTGCCTCGGCCATTGCTTCTGTCCCCTGCTTCTCTTTAAAAAATAAAAAGGAGAAGAAAAATAAAATAGAAGCCAGTTCGCGGCACGCCTGCTCCGGAAAGCTGTTATTCCTTCTTTCGCACGCCTCTTCCCCTGTCTCTGCCTCTCTCCCTCATTCCCTTGGACTTGACTCTCTGCTTCCCTCCCTTTCTCCCTCTCCCTCTCGCTCCTCTCCCTCTCTCTCTCACACACACATGCACACACACTGCTTTCTCTATTTCTCTCTCCTGAAATTTTATACCACCCTCCCATGACGTCTCTGGCCTGGGGTGGGGGAGGGAGGGACCAGCGCACGCAGCCTCTTTTGCTGCACGATGTTAATGTTTTAAACAGGCACAGGAAAAGCCGAGCCCATTTGAAAAATACTTTGCGAGTCCTCTCGTTCGACGTGGTAGCTGAACTTTTTTCCCCTCTTGGAGTCACTCCTGCTACACGCTGGCTGTTTTTCTGGAAAGTTACTCCGATGAGCCCCCTCCCTCCCTTTCCCCCAGCCCCTGCGCCCTCTCGCCGGCTGTCAGTCCGCGCCGTCCGCGGCCCGCGTCTCTCCCCCTCCTGGTCCACCGGTCCCGGGGCCGCCCCCGGGCCAGGCCCGACCCGGGACAGGGTCCGCAGAGGGCGCGGGGCCCGGCAGGGTCGGCCGTGCCAGCCTCGCGGAGGGGACTCCCGGTCGCGAGCCGGATCGGAGGGTCGGCGTCCGCTCCGCCGCGATTCTGGCCGGATTCTTCACTGACAAGCTCGGAGTCGAGAGGCGGGCAGAAGCCGGGAGACGCTCCGGGGGCAGTGAAAAATGGTGGCCTTTTCCGGAAGATCGAGGGTGCCCTCTGGCGAGGCGAGGCCGCTAGTGAAGGAGCTCGGCGGGTCTGCAGCCGGGGAGGCGCGGGCAAGGGGGGCTGGGGGGCTGGGGGCAGTGGAGGGGCGGGAGAAGGGGCTGCGGGAGAGAGCGAGAAAAACAAGACCCGGGCCCCGGGGAATCGCCTCCCTCCCGGCCCCACGTGCGCACGAGCGCACCTCTCCCTCCCCGACCGCGGCTCCGGAGCCGCTCTCGCAGAAATGTCATCCAGATGTTCAGCCTCCCTCCCCGCCGAGGGCTCCGCGGGGAGCTGCGCCAGCGAGCGCGAAGTCAGCAATTGGCCCGAGCCCATTTCCCAGATGGGTGAGGGGAAGTTGGCTCTCCGCTTTCTCTCATCTCGGCCCGAACCTCCAGGCCTTTTCCCACGAGCAGCACGGGGAGGGCAGGGCACGTGGCCCGCAGCACCCGGCAACACGGGGCTTGCATCTGAACTGAACTTTCCTGAAAGTGAGTGCCGCTCCCACCCCACCTCACTCCAGCCTCCCTGGACCCTTTCTGAGAGGTCTGGTTTCTAGGCCACTAACTGCAAGGCTGTTTACTGTATCCCAGCACAGCGGTGGCTCATATACGGATGAGGAAACTGAGGCATATATATATCTTTTAAAGACCACAGTGCTGTTTGTGAGTGGTGGCGGTGATATTTTACACAGGCTATCTAGTTTGGGTAGGCATTATTTCCATTTCCGTATCTGATGAGGAAACCTAGGGGTAGAAACTTTAAAAGTAACTTGCCCAAGGTCACATAGCTATTAGGTGTCAGCTGTTGGGATTTGGACCCAGGACATTGCCAGAGTCTGTGGACTTAATTACTATGCTATACTGCCTCTGGAATTTGAGAAAAAGGTTAATGTTTACGACGTGCCAGGCACTGTTCTAGACTCTGTGAACAATATCAGTGAACAAAACAAACAAAACTCTTGCCCTCATGGAACTTATATTTTAGAGGCAGGGATGGGGCAGTGGAGGAGGCAATAGACTAAATATGTAAATGATGCAGTAGGGTAAAAAGTGCTGGGCCAGGTGCAGTGGCTCACATCTGTAATCCTAGCATCTGGGGAGGCCCATGCGGGAGGATTGCTTGAGCTCGGGAATTCAGAAACAGCCCCAGCAACACGGTGAAACCCAGTCTCCACAAAAATAGAAAAATTAGCCCGACATGTTGGCGCAGACGTCTACTTGGGAGGCTGAGGCAGGAGGATCACTTAAGCCAGAAAGGCAGAGGTTGCAGGGGGCCAAGATTGCATCACTGCAGTCCAGCCTGAGAGACAAAGCAACACTCTGTCTCAAACCAACCAACCAACCAACCAACCAACCAACCAACCAACATGGCAGAAAATCAAGCAGGGAAGAAGGATGGGGAGTGCCTAGGTTGGAGGATGTTGCAGTTTGATATAGGACAATAAGGGAAGGGCTTTGAGCAGACAGTTGCAAGACAGGAAGGAAAATTGTTGAAGTTATACTTTTCTGGACTCCAGGTCTACTAAATCAGACTCTCCAGAGATGGCGCTGGCATCTCTATTTCTTTACAAACCTCACACGTGATTCAGGTGCTCAGCAAGGTTGGAAGCCACTACTCAAGGGTACCTCTCTGCCCAGAGTGAGGATGATTTGCCTTCTGTTTTCAGCAAGCTGGGGAAGAAGTGGGGGTGAAGGTCTGGAAAGTGACTATAAGGTGATGGTGGTATGCTGTGAGCCTACAAGAAATGGAAAAATCCAAAGATTAGTCCCTTCCTCCTCATCTGGTGCCAAAGAAGAAGGGAACAAGGGATTCATTAGAGCCTGTATTTCATCTGTCTTGGATTTTTGGCAACGAATGTTTCTTCAGATTAAAATCTAACAAAGTATTCTCACTAAGAAACAAGTTAACAAAGGATCTTAGAGATAATCTCTAAAGTAATTACAAGGGAGGAAACTGATATCAGGAAAGGGTTCTCTAGCTACACAGGTAGTTACCACCAGAGCTAAGATGAGAACACGACTCTTCTGACATCCAGGCCAGTGCTCTTGCTGTCATAGGCATGCTAACGTGCAGTCCTACCCAGTAACGTGTGATTGAACTGAGTAATTTCCTGGGTATTTAAGAAATGCTTGCAATCCGGTTTCAGGGGTGCTATTCCCACTTCCAAGTCCTTGCTTTTAACCTGTATGCTTTTAACCTATGATGCTTCCCTGCAGCATCATACTGGAAATTCTGTCGCTTTGAGGACCATCAGCTGATCTCCTTTGGACCTCAGCCAACCAGTGCCAGGAACCTGGCCAGTGATATTGACTTGGAGATCTTTTATGAAGCGTCAATAAAGACGCAACTTAACTGCCCACTAGGCTGGGGACTTGTGGTACATCTCCCTCTGCCAGCCTAGGAGGATGGCTGGCACCCAGTAGTATGTGCCGGAGAAAAATACTTCAGTAATGTCTGGTGTGAGAAGGGCATCTGGCTCTGCTTCTTGGCACTTAGGTGATTGTCCTCAGCCGCCTTCTTTGTGCCTCAGCGTCCTTGGTTGTTGTATTAGAGATACTACCGCTACTCACTTTGTGGGATGGTTGGGATTTAATAAGATATTGAATATTTGAACTTTTGACTATTACTCAGCTATTTGATGTGTTCGTTTCAGCCCGTCTGTAAACTTCTTGAAGGCAGAGATTACGTATACACAAGGTTGTTATGCCCCTCACGTTAAGGCAATAACTGTGACAGCCCTCTGTACATTGCAAAGAGCTATACAAATGGGAGGCATCGCTATAATTGCTACTATTAGCAGCAGTAGTGCTTTGCACTTAGTATTGATATATTTAAACAGAGCTACAAATGTAGACAGTTCCTAACAACCAAATTATTTTACCGTCTCGAAGGAGGAGCCTTGGCGAGTTTTAATAACTGGACGTTGCTTCCGGATGCCAAGCCAGGCAGGTTTAAGAAAGATTCGGTAGAGTTTGGAGGATGGCGTACAGAATCCAGGAACGATGCTGCGGACCCTTTAAAAATTGGGATGGAGGGGCGGGGCTGTTAGCAGGGACGCGGCTGGGCCGGTCGGTTTCCAGGAAGTGACGTCAGGCGGCCGCGGAGATGGAGGATTTGGAGGACTTGGGCGAGGAGCGGCGTTACGGCTTGGCTACCTCCGTGAGGACCCATTCCGGGGTCTTGGGGGCCAGGATTTGGCGGGTGGGGAGGAGCGACCCAGCCGGCCCCGACTTCCCAGAGGGGACTCAGGGCGGCAGGTCTCGAGCTGTGCCGGGTGAGGCCCAGGAGGAGGTGGCCTCACCGCCCCGCCCCCGGGCCGCGGTGGGCTCAGTCGTTGCTGGCATGGGGTTTGCTTTCTTTAAAATCCTCAAAACGCAGAAAACATCCTATCCCGGCTCTGGGACCGTGGGAAATTTCCGAGCCTTTCTCCGTTTTCTAGAACTGTGGTGCGAACTCCCCCAGAACAGATCGATCACAGGGTGATGGGGGTGCCCCGGCCGGGGTCGCACTCGCTCCCATCCTAGAGTTTTTCTTTTGGGGCACCTCATCCCAGAAGTTCCTGCAAAAGCCGCACTGTTTTATGCCTGGAAGGGAGGCAGGCTGGGATGGCCTTTATTCCCCGTAATCCCCGCGGGGAGGTAGGAGTTACTTCAGTGGTTAAGGAAACCACGACTCAGATTTGTAACGTGAGGGAGTGATTAGGTGCTCAGGTACTGAGGTCAGATGGAGCATAAAGTTGCCTAGATTAAAAAAGAAAAGCAAACCCTAAAAAACGATTTAACCTTCCCGAGACTTGGTTTCCTTATGCCTAGAATGGAGGTATTAGAGTGAAAAGGAAATGGGACAATTCATGGGAAGCTTGTAACTCAGTATGTTACCACAGAAGAGATCAGAAGAGGTTAGCTGTCTCTGCCTCTGAGGCTGTGGTTTACCCAGCGTTATAGTCAGTAAATACTGGAGCTTGATTCAAGACACAAGTTCAGTGTTTATCTTCCTCCTTTGTAACCCCCATCAGGCCTTTTTATCTTTAAAATTAGCCAGGATCACACTTACTAAAAGATTGAGCCCCGGAGCAAGTCTTTAGTTTCTGCTGTGAAGTCTCTAAGTGTTTCGAAGGTCATCAGGTCTTGCTCATATGTGAATGTTTTTTAGTACCTGGGGATGTGAATGTAGTTATTCATTCATTCAACAGGCATTTATTGAGCCCCTACTGTGTATCAGGCAGTATCCGAAGTGCTGGAGATACAGTAGTGAATAAAGCAAAGTTCCTGTCCTCATGGGCTTATGTAGTGGGAGAAGATGAGCAATAAATAGACTACATTTGACGTACACAAAAATCTGGCAGTAAAGAAGTTTTTCTACCCTATGGATCTATACAAGGTCTTCAAGAAGTTTAAAACCTTGAAATATTTAAAAATTGTTAGAGAAACCACCTGTGAATGGCATTTAGAGATAAGATCATTGAATTTTGGTTCTAGCACAACCACTATATGCAGGATGCTAAGGAAAGGGCAACCATGGTGAAAGGGTGGAATTATCTGCCTTGAGAAGAAAATAAGCTGCTTATTATGGGAAAGATTGTTTCCATCATCCCTGAAACCTAAATGATTGACACTACAATTTGAAGTGTAAACACTGCACCAGAGTTTTTATGAGCTCTTCTGTAACCCCTTTCAACTTATTGGTACAGTCAATTCTTAGAACATCTTAAAACAAGTTTCAGCAGGGTATAGTGGAAAGCACCCAGGAAACCCAGGATCTGAAATCAGAAGGCTCTGCTCCTAGGTTTATGTGAGCCACTTCATCACCTTCCTGGACCTCAGTTTCCTCCTTTGTAAAATGGCGTCATTCACAGCTCCTGTCCCTGTTACTGTGAGACTCAAAGGAAGCCACATTAAAGGAGATCTAAAAGTGCTAATGTTAATGCTGTTTTTCTAAAGAAAGAAAGCAATAATGTAAATGTAAATATTTCAACACCCAAGAGTCTGACTAAATAAAAGTTTTGTTTATATGCTGGGAAGCCTTGGAGGCAGAGTCTCCACGGCCTACGGAAACACCTGCAAGTAGTTCATTTGATGGCTAAGAATTTTGAAGTGCTCTAATTTCCAAAGATAATGTCTCAAAATTCTTGTACTAGATGTTCTTTAATGCCTGTAAAGGCAAATCCAATTACTGTATATATCAAAGCAAATGCTGTTTTCCAGTTGCCATGGAATTTAGGAATTCTTTCCAAAAGCCTGTTTGATAATGATTTTCATGCCAAGCTGCAGATTTGAAATTAAGCCTTCCTAAAATTCTGCATAGGAACGTGGAGCCTTTACCACCTTCTTCTCTGACCTGTTCTAGAGGAATTTCTAACTGCATTTCTTTGGGGAGAAAACATTTTCTTTTGCCATCTCTATAGCTGTTAAAACCCTGTCCAGCCTGGGCAACACGGGGAGACCCCATCTCTACAAAAAAATGAAATAAATGAATTATCCAGATATGGTGGTATGCACCTTTTGTCCCAGCTACTCAGGAAGGCAAGGTAGGAGGATCACTTGAGCCCAGGAGTTGGATGCTGCAGTGAGCACTCCAGCCTGGGCAACAGAGTCAGACCCTGTCTTAATTTCCTATTTTCCTGTGAAATAGAACTGACCTCAGGTGCTTTGTTTTAGGGGTTTCAGAGGGTTTTCTACAAACATGTCCAAGTAACTCAAATCCCATTCTCCACCACATCATCATAAATCTAGTCCTTGCTTACTTTCCCAGGATTGTCATCTTTATAGTGGCCCAAATGACATTTGGGTTAGCAGTGCCTTCTGTCTTTCCTTACAGAGGGCCAAGATGGGTCGCCGAGCTCAACAGGAGTCAGCTCAGGCCGAGAATCACCTCAATGGCAAGAATTCCTCTTTGACTCTGACCGAAGAGGTGGGTGCCAAAAAAAAAAAAAAAAAAAATCTGAAGAAATGCTGTTTAAGAGTTAGTGATTCCTGGCTGGGCGCAGTGGCTCTCACCTGTAATCCCAGCACTTTGGGAGGCCGAGGCGGGTAGATCACAAGATCAGGAGTTCCAGACCAGCCTGACCAACATGGTGAAACCCCATCTCTGCTAAAAATAGAAAAATTAGCTGGGTGTGGTGGCATGCATCTGTAATCCCAGCTGCTCAGGAGGCTGAGGCAGGATAATCACTTGAACCCGAGAGCCTGAGGTTGCAGTGAGCTGAGATCGTGCCGTTGCACTCCAGCCTGGGCAGCAGAGAGACTGTCAAAAAAAAAAAAAAAAAGTTAGTGATTCCTTAATGACCAAGGATTTGATATTCCGTATTTCTTCTCTTGAATGCCAACCCTTTCTCCTGTCTTGATTTGGGAATCCCCTTCCTTGGCATTTGTCCTAGTAGCAAGAAATGAAAGAGGAACTTTTTTTCTTTGATGCCAGACTAGTTTCTGTGCATTTCTTTATATTCTTAATGTAGAACTTTTTATGTTAGCTGAAGCAAGGGACTGGGAAGTTTCAAAATCTGGTAGGATTCTGGGTTTTTATTTCTGCTGAATAAATGCCAGCAAGGCATGCTGGTGATGTAAGGTTAGATTACACAATTGGACATAAGCTCTCAGTGGTGACCTGCACTTTCTGCAGTCTTCCTATGGGAAGGGATCATTTACTGGCCTTACTTTCCTGGAAACTTTTCCGAATCGCCTGGAATTATGGGAAATGATCCAGCTTCATTGTGGATTGTGGAAGGTGGGTAATTCTGATGAGCCATACTTTTACTGCCAGGGCACTGCTTTTGGCAACTTACACAGAGCCCCTTTTTACTTTCCTCTGTCCATTTGAAAAAACTTTGCAAGCGTCAGCCTCAGGGTCATCCCTTGGCTTAGCTCTTCTCTAACTTCTCCAGGCTGACTTAGTGGTCCTTCCTCTCGCTTTCCATAGTACCGGTTGTAGAACATATCCCATTATATGTGAATTATATTTTCACATGTCTGTCTCCCCCAGTGGACAGTGAGTTCCCAGACAGCAGGAAACCTGGCATTTGGCTTGCTGGCCCATAGTAGGTTTACAACAGATGAAGGGACCCATGCTGAGGAGCCTAATGGGGATCAGGCAGGTGCATGAGCAAATGAGCCAGGTACCTGCCATGGGCACACTTTACTTACATATTACATAGGTAGTAATATTCTTCATTTTCATAGGAAATGCATTCTCCACCATTTTCTTAAGCTCTCCACATGGCCTTATCCGTTTATCTTTCATTTTCCCGCTTTACAAGTATGAGTATGGAGAATCATTACTTTAAGATAGCATCTGTGTTGGGCTAGAGAAACTAGCAGCTGACCCCTTGGCCTCATTGCCTGGAAGACACTAGGGGAGTGGGTTAGGGCAGGGGGACTGGGAACTGGAGGCCACATGGCCCCTCTAAAGGGACAACCACTATTTAGCGAAAGCTGGTTGGTGCCGTAGAGAATACAGGCCCAATATTGCCAGATGTAATTCTTCAATAGATGCTGGCAGTCTAAAATTTTATGTGAAAGCAACACATTTTTAGAGGTTAGCAACTGATCAAGAAAACTAAATCATCCTATGGACTGGATATTAAATCACCATATGGGTTGGATTTGGCCCAAGGATTGTTAGTTTGTAACTGTGGCCGTGGCACCTCCATGATACTTGTTACATTGTATTCTAATTGTTTACATATCTGGTTCTCTCATAAGATGTGAGCATCTGGAAGGCAGAAGTTGTGTCTTATCATGGTACCCTATTATCTGTTACATGCCTGGCAGAATAGACACGCTATTGTTACTACACAGGATGAGGTGGGGTCAAGTACATAATGTGTGATGTACTTACACATTAAAAGGTGAGTAGAAGTGTTACGGAGGGCGGGGGAGTTGAGGGGGTGGATAATGGAGCATTGGAGGCACAGTTAGGAGTGGTGATATAAAATAGGAATTTGGTGAAAGAAGATATACCAGACCCAACCCTGGATCTCAGCAAGCTTGAACTACAGTGTTGTATGTCTTTAAAGAGAAAATGAGGAAGCAAATGACTGAGTTGATGGAAGCCAGTTCTTGGGCTGTGGCACCTTATGCTCTTCCGCATGGATCCAGGAGGATTCATCCCAATACCAGATCATTAGTGAGTAAGTCCACTAATCTCTCTAATCCCCCACTTCATTATCTGTCAAATTCATTTACTCAACAACTATTTATTGAAGGACACAGTAAGTGCCAGGCACTATTTTGCAGGGTTGGCATATTTCAGTGAACAAAAGAGACACGATCTCTTGCCATAATGGAACTTATATTCTTGTGATTATTGGCAACCAGGAAGACTAATTAAAAGTCTGCTTAAGGCCAAGCACAGTGGCTTATTCTTGTAATCTCAGCACTTTGGGGAGCCGAGGCAGGAGCATTGTCTGAACCTAGGAGTTTAAGACCAGCCCGGGCAACATAGTGAGACCCTGTCTTTGCAAAAAATTTAAAAATTAGCTAGGTGTAGGTGGCATGTGCCAATAGCCCAAGCCACTCTGGAGGCTGAGGCAGGAGAATCGCTTGAACCTGGGAGGTGGAGGTTGCAGTGAGCTGAGATTGTGCCATTGTACTCCAGCCTGGGCAACAAGAATGAAACTCCTCAAAACTCCATCTCAAAAAAAAAAAAAGATATATATATATATACCTTTTTTTTTTTTTGAGAAGGAGTTTTAAGAAGGAGTATACACACACACACACACACACACACACACACAAAATATCTTTTAAAAGTCTACTTAATTGTGAAGGAGGTTATAGCCACCTATGTTGGTTAGGTGAATGAGCCTGTGATGACTTGATTAGGCCTTGAAGCCTTATATGACCCCTATACCAATCAACTCCTGGGCTGGGGTCAGTGGGCCCTGCTTACCTATATCCACTTCCCCTTGGCTCCCACATGAGAATCATTGCTGTGAGAATCATTGCCATAGTCACAGAGTGTGGTGAACCCTTGCAGGGTTTCAGCCACTCAGTAAAACCTAATTATTTCGAGGTTTACCTTTTTTTACTCTAAGCATTAGCATTTTTCTGGGAGAACATGATGAAAAGTCATTCTGCTCTTTGCCCAACTGTTGCCTCTGAAAGCAAGATGCCAGTCAGGATTCCAGGATCCCTTTTCTGCCTGAGCTAATTGAGGTTTAAACAGTGTGGGCAGCCTCCCACGGGGCCAGATGCTCACTGTGCTGTGTGGGACTTTTTGGCTGTTTCTTTCTAAAATTAGATCCCAAGACTTGTGTGTGTGCCCATTTACATTCCAATTCTATTACTTGATGTATTTATTTTTGTCCTCTTGCTGACTATATTCTAGGATGACGATATCCGTGTAAATGTAAATATGGTACCTGGGAACTGTCAGATATGCCAGAGTTACTTTAGACTTAAGTGGAAATTAGTTGAAACACATGGTTATTTTAAAGCAAGGTAGTAGAGTTGGGAGCTCTGGTGAAGGAAGCAGAAAGAACACAGGGCTTCACATCAGAAGACTGGGTGCTAATTGCCTGGATCATGAGTAAGTCCACTAATCTCTCTAATCCCCCACTTCATTATCTGTCAAATAGTGACAGTAATACCTCCAGATTGATATGGGGGTAAGTGAGATATGCATTGAAAAGCACGTTAATAAACTGAAAAGCGCTGTGCAAGCATTCATTCAATAAATTAGTGAATAAAGGAGTATTGGGACAGTGCTTTGCTGCTTTTATTAAAGGGCAGCAAAGAAAGAAAGGCCACAGTCTCTTAGAACTGATTTGCACGTCTTTTCAGAGGCAACTAATTTATCCATAGGTTGGCTAGAAGTTATCTGGAGCGGAGGGTTTTTTTTTGTTTTGTTTTGTTTTTTTTGAGAGACAGTCTCATTCTGTCACCCAGGTTGGAGGAGTGCAGTGGTGCAATCAGTTCACTCACTGCCTTCCAGTTTAAAGCGATTCTCCTTCCTCAGCTTTCCGAGTAGCTGGGAAAACAGGTGCCTGCCATCTCGCCTGGCTAATTTTTGTATTTTTAGTAGAGATAGTGTTTCACCATGTTGGCCAGCCTGGTCTGGAACTCCTGACCTCTTGATCCACCACCCTTGGCCTCCCAAAGTGCTGGGATTACAGGCATGAGCCACCGTGGCCTTTTTTTTTTTTTTTTTGAGGCAGTGTCTTGCTCTGTTTCCCAGGCTGGTGGCATGATCATGGCTCACTGCAGCCTTCAACTCTTGGCTCAAGTGACCTTCCAGTCACAGTCTCCTGAGTAGCTGAGACCACAGACATGCACCACCGCACCTGGCTAATTTTTCTTTTTCTTTTTTTATAGAGATGAAGTCTTGTTATGTTGCCCAGGCTGGTCTCAAACTCCTGGCCTCAAGCAATCCTCCCATCTTGGCTTCCCAAAGTGCTGGGATTACAGGTGTGAGCACCACACCCAACCCAGAGCAGAGGTTTTGTGCTTTCTAGTTGCAGCAGGCATGTCTTATGAATAGTATGTTAAAGCACAGGCCTAGGGCTTATACCAGCCTGGGTTGAAATCCTTTCCCTGTCATACATTAGTTTCTATGATACTGAGCAAGTTAATCTTGCTAAGCCTTATTTTCCTGTTGGTGAAACAGGGATAATATTCCATACTTCATAGGATGGCTAGAAAGAAAAAGTGATATAACCCTTAACCCAGTCTGACAAACAAATGCTCAGTATGTTGCCAACCATTATTATTTCTCTAGAACTTGGGTGGTCTTTTTATTCCACCTTAACTTTCTCTACTGAGGTTGAAAGCTAGCAGCTTTCAGGTGGAATTTGGCCTGTAGTCATGTTTTATTTGATCCATACAGGGTTAAGAATTTTAAAATTTGGTTCACATTTATAAATTAGGAAATGTAATATGGAAATGCAGATTTTAAACTTCTCTTTAAAATCAGAA